AGCACATGCAGAAAGGGAATAACAGTGGTGAGCTCCTTTGGTGGGAGTAGCCAATAACATGGAGGCTCCAAAGGAGAGAAGAAGAAAGTCCACAGAGCTGTCAGCTGGCAGAACTTAGCCCAGTGTGAAGACATCCGGGATAGAAGTTGGCTCCAAGACGAAAGCAGGTCAGTCCCACCCCCTCCACTGAGTCTGAGTATCTGGAGTTCATCCGGGTCATCACAGAGGACCACTTCTGACCCAATCCAAAGAGCTATGGAAGACAGCATACCATATATTTGTAAACATCCTATGTCAGCTTCAGGAGATTCCAGGGATGAGGCTCATAGTTGCCAACAAAATTCTACAGACTCTAGAAAGAAATTCCATTCCTCCTACCTTGTATCCTGAGCCTTACCTTATTCTCATGCCAAAAAATAATGCAGTAAATAACAATAGTTAGCCCTTAAGAGTCACCTCTAGATGCCAGGTGCAGTGGCTCACACCTGTAATCCCAGCACTTTGGGAGACTGAGGCAAAAGGATTGCTTGAGCCCAGGAGTTTGAAATCAAACTAGGCAACACAGCGAGACTTCATCTCTACAAATAAATCAAAAATTAAGCCAGGCATGCCAGAGCTTACCTGTCATCCCAGCTGCTCAGGAGGCTGAGGCAGGAGAATCTCCTAAGCCCAGGAGATCGAGACTGCAGTAACCGTGATGGCGCCATCGCACATCAGCCTGGGTAACAGAGCGAGATGCCAACTTAAAATAAAATAAATAAAGAATCACCACTAAGAAACCAGCATGGGTGGGGAGTCATGGGTTTTCCATCCTCACCACCCCTTGGTCATTGTTTTGTCCTCTGAGCTTCTACGAACTAAATATAACTCCTCTCCTTCATAAGAAAACCTCAAATATTTGAGAACAGCTTTTGTATTCTATTAGTTCTGTCTTTTCCAGATTAAATATCTTCACATTCTTCATATATGCCTTGCCTTTCACAGTTCTCAAGCCCTAATTTATGATGGTCAACAACAAAAAAATCAACATAAATAGCTACTAAGATCTTACCCTTCCTATACTTGTTTACCTGATTATTAAAATTTACATGCAGATTTTACATGTACCTCTGCTAAATTTCATCTTGTTTTTAGTTTAGTATTCCAAAAGGCAAGATTATTTGTAAGTCTGTCACCTATAATATTGGTTTTCCCTCTTTGTTTCATATCATCTGAAGTTTAATGAGCCATGCATATTTGCTCTGTCTATTGAAGTCACTGCTAAAATAGGTAAAGAAGGCAAGATCTACAACATCTTCTTCTTTTCACAAGACATCTTTCTCCAGATTTTCAGAGTCATTAATGAATAAGTTTGGTATATGGTAACTTAACTGGGAGTGTTACCTTGGCCAGACGTGGTGGCTTATGCCTATAATCCCAGCACTTTGGGAGGTTGAGGTGAGAAGATTGCCTGAGCCCACGGTTTAGAGACCAGCCCGGGAAACTTGGCAAGACCTCATCTCTACAATTAAGTAAAAAAGTAGCCGGGCATGGTGGCGCGTGTCTGTGGTTTCAGCTACTAGGAAGGCTGAGGCAGAAGGATCACGGAGCCCAGCAGGTCGACGCTGGGGTGGCTGTGAGCATGCCACTGCACACCAGCCTGGGTGACAAAGTAAGACTCCAACTCAAAAAAAAAAAAAAAAAGAGTGTTACCTTTACACACAGTCATCAACTTTTCTATGAATCTTTACTGAAATTAGTATCTCCTTTTTCTGCTTCTTTCTCCTGTTATATTAAATTAATAATAACTCTCGAGTGGGCATGGTGGCTCACACCTGTAATCCCAGCACTTTGGGAGTCCAAGGTAGGAGGACTGCTTGAGTTCAGGAGTTTGAGATCAACCTAGACAACATAGTGAGACCTCATCTCTACAAAAATATCAAAAATTATCCAGGTGTTGTGGTGCATGACTGTAGTTCCACCTACTCAGGAGGCTGAGGCAGAAGGATTGCTCGAGCTGTGATTGTGCCACTACACTCCAGCCTGGGCAAGAGAGTGAGATCCTGACTCAATAAATAGATAAATAAATATTACTAATACTCTCAGTAAAAGACATTATGTGATTTTTCACATTATGATTAGCGTTGCAAAGTTCCTGGTGAGCTCTTATAAGACTTCCAAATATTATATGAAACATCTATTTAAGAATTTTACGGGCAAACACTTTGGGGCCCCTCACACTGTGGGAGCTTTTCAATAAATCTTTTCTTAAAAAAAAAGAATTTTACAAGGACCAAGATCAAATTCCTTGGTTGGGAATACTGAAGTTTAATGAGCCATGCATACTTATTCTGTCTATTGAAGTCACTGCTAAAATAGGTAAATAAGACAAGATCTACAAACTTTTTTTATCATAAGCATTGGGTCAGTGTGTAGACTTGAGAAGTTTTGGGTCAGTTGACTAGTAGGTTGGTTTGGTTAGTTTTACTAGTTTCTTCCTTTGTTCCATCTCTCTGTTAAACCTTGGGTCCCATTTCACTCTCAATTCAAGTCTCTCCCTGGCTCTTAAAGTCTTTAGTATATAGAAGTTGAAATGTGTTCAAATACATATGAAAGCATTCAGTTTCCTCTGTCTGTAAGTCCATGTGACTGAACGTGTGTCAGCATGATGTAACCACAAAGCTAGAGGAAAAGGGAGGATCAGGCCAGGAACACAAAAATCCTGTGTTCTTGCTGCTGTCTGCTAACATGGAATGTCATCTTTCTTAACTTCAAAAAGGAGAAAACATGTTGGGCTTTCTGTTTTTTTCCTACACACACACACACACACACACACACACACACACACACACACACACACCTCTTTGGCTTCCATCTCCGTTCTTCTTTTTTTTGAGTTGGAGTCTCACTCTGTTGCCCAGATTGGAGTGCAGTGGCACACTCACAGCCACCGCAGCCCCAACCTGCTGGGCTCGGGAGATCCTTCCGCCTCAGCCTTCCAAGTAGCTAGAACTATAGGTATGCACTATCACATCCGGCTAGTTTTTTGATTTATTGTAGAGATGAGGTCTCACCAAGCTGCCCAGGATGGTCTCGAACCCATGGGTTCAGGCAATTCTCGCTCCTCGGCCTCCCAAAGTGCTGGGATTATAGGCGTGAGCCACTGCACCCGGCCCCATCTCCATTCTTAATTATGGTTCCATCTCAAGTTTCCAATATCCCCTCAGAGGAGGACCCAGAGATTCTTCTTCTCTTCTAGTAGTCTTAAATACTTCTTTATCTGGCCCAAGTTGTCATGATGCAACTTTTCCATGGTAATTTGCTACTGAAAAAATTGTAACTAATTCACTTATTTATTCACTTCACAAGTACCTCTCAAGGTGTAACCATGCATTTGGTGTGAAGACAGTACAGCGGTAACTAAGGAAAGGAAACCTGCTCGGCATACAAGTTTCTCAAGAACAAACAGGTGAGATAAATTGAGCGTTTTACCTGTATGGAAAATATAGGGTAGGAGAACCAAGAAAAAGAAAGAATTTCCAGTTCATAACAAACCTGACCAGAGACTGGACAAAGTTTCAAAATGGCTTTACCAAGGGTCACCAGGTCACTTGTCCAGGAAGAAAGAATGGTTTCCCAGGGGAGTGGGGTCTGGGTGAGTTCAGATCTTTCTATGTCGCATCTCTCATGGAGTAGATGATATAGATTTTTTATTTGGATTTTCAAGTCTCAATTTCTTAGAAAGAGAAAATATTCTGAGATAGGTGGCTGTCTCTGGGATATGTGTGACCTCAGAGTAGGATCGACTCCTCTGGAGGCTATGGGCACACCTCCCATCCTTCCAGAAGAGTTCACCAGGTGTGCTTAGCCAGTTGGTGCTCAGTCAAGATTGCCAAATAAATAGCTACTTGTTGACTGGAAGAATGTTATGCTGCTCTCTAATTCTGACATTTCAATCACTCAGAAAGAGTTTGGGAAAGCACTATCAAACAGCAGACCACACAGGAGCTTTGTAGTCAAGCAAACCTGTGTTCAAATAATGACTCCACTGTAGTGACTTTGAATAATTGACTTAAACTTACTGAGTTCTTGGTTTCTTTTCTGTTAGGATCACCAAAATATTGGGTCAACGTGCCAGTGCCACAGGATGATGTAAAGAATTGCACAGAAATTCAATTTGAGAAGATAGTTTATTTAAAAAGTAGATCAGAGAGAGAGGGTGAATTCGAATTCATCTCTCCAAGATGGGAGCGGGAACCAGAGGCTAAAGGAAAGTAAGTGTGGCCAGGCGCAGTGGCTCATGCCTATAATCCCAGCACTTTGGGAGGCCGAGGTGAGAAGATTGCCTGAGCCCACTGGTTCGAAATCAGCCTGGGCAACTTGGCAAAACCTCATCTCTACAATAAATAAATAAATAAATAAATTAGCTGGTCGTGGTGGCACATGCCTGTAGTTCCAGCTACTTGGGAAGCTGAGGTAGAAGGATCATCTGAGCCCAGCAGGTCAAGGTTGCAGTGACTGTGAGCATGCCTCTGCACTCCAACCTGGGTGATGGAATGAGACTCCAACTCAAAAAAAGAAATGAAAAGAAAGAAAGTGTGACAGCTAGTGCTTGAGACTAGGAGTTTTTAAAACTTCTTGCGGGGGCGGGGGGTGAGTCAGGTAAGCATTCACAGGAGCTGCCATTACCTTAGGACAAAGATGTTAATTTTTTTTTTTTTTTTTGAGTTGGCGTCTCACTCTAACACTCAGGCTAGAGTGCAGTGGCACTCATCTTATGTTCATCTTAATGTCTTGTGACTTGCCCAGGGTTCCAGGAAAGGTTTCTTGTCACATATGGGCTCAAGGAGACCAGAGAAACTCCATTTTGAGCTCTGTCCTTTCATTTTCTATAATTAGGAGACAATAAGGCCTGCCTCCAGTACTTGTTGTGATGAATAAATGATAAGCATGGAGTGTGGCCATAATAGAATCTTGGTTTATATTAGCTACCTTCCTTTCTTCCTTGGGCCCAGCTCTAGATGAAGAAGCAGTACAGTGGTGACAGTAAGAACCAGACCACCTGGCTGATCCTAGCGGGCTTCAGGGAACTGCAACACCTGGGCGTCCTTCCCTTCACCCTCTTTCTGGCCATCTATGTGGTGACAGTCGGGGGCAACGCCCTCCTCATGCTGGCTGTGGCCTCTAGTCGGACACTCCACACACCCATGTACTTCCTCTGCCACTTCTCCCTGCTGGAGATTGGCTATACCTCCAACATCATACCTCGGCTGTTGCAGAGTTTCCTGGAAGGGAGGGAAGTCATCTCACTAGTCAGCTGTCTGGTCCAGTTCTACATATTTGCTTCGTTGGCTGCAGCCGAGTGCCTCCTGCTCTCTGTCATGTCCTATGACCGTTACTTGGCCATCTGCCATCCCCTTCGCTACCCTGTCCTGATGAGCACCTGGTTTTGTAGCAGTCTGGCCGCTGGTGCTTGGCTCAGTGGCTTCTTTTTCTCCGCCTTCACTCTAGCCCTAGCAGCCACTCTTTCCCTCTGTCCTGGAAGCAGAGAGATTGACCACTATTTCTGCGACTTCTCTCCAGTTGTAGGGCTATTCTGCGGGGATGTGGGGGTCATGTGGGGAGCTGGAGTCACTATCTCAGGCTTCCTGACACTGACCCCCTTCTTACTGATTGTGGTATCCTATACCCTCATCTTAAGGGCTGTTTTGCAAATACCTTCAGGCCATGGGAGGCAGAAAGCCTTCTCCACCTGTTCCTCCCACCTCTGTGTGGTTGGGGTGTTTTATGGCACCCTCATTGTGGTCTACGTGGCCCCAACAGACCACACGGCCCCCTTGCTTCGAAAGGCCTTCTCTGTCTTCTACACGGTGCTCACTCCCATGGCCAACCCCATCATCTACAGCCTCAAGAACCAGGAGGTGAAGGGAGCTCTTCGTAGGCTCTGGGAACAGCTTTTCCCAGGACACACCTCACTGACGGGGACAGGACCGCTACTGACTTCTTCCTGGATTTCAGCTTAGCTCCTTCCTCAAAGCCTGTTGGACTAGAAACCACTGCAATAAAAAGATGGAGACTGTGGGATTGAAAGTGGATGTCTAACAAAATCAGGTAACTTTATTTCCCAGTTGGAATTGAGTAGAGATCAAAATCTAATGCCTAGCAGAGGGACAAACCCTATAGCTACTCCACAAAACTTATTTGAAAAAATACATGAATTAATACAGTTGTCCCTTGGTATTCAGGAAGGAATTGGTCCCAGGACACACTCCCCCACCCCATACCTAAATTTATGGAAGCTCAAGTCCCCTATAGAAAATAGCATAGTATCAAAAAGAAGAAGAAAAAAACAACCTTATTAAAAAGTGGGCAAGGCCAGGCGCGGTGCCTCACGCCTGTAATCCCAGCACTTTGGAAGGCCGAGATGAGAGGATTGCCTGAGTCCATGGGTTCGATACCAGCCTGGGCAACTTGATGAGACGACCCCCCCCGCCACAATAAATCAAGAAAAATTAGCTGGGCTTGGTGTCATGTGTCTGTAGTTTCAGCTCCTTGGAAGGCTGAGGCAGAGGGATTGCCTGAGCCCAGCAGGTCGAGGCTTCGGTAGCCGGGAGCATGCCACTGCCCTACAGCCTGGGTGACAGAGTGAGACTCCTACTCAAAAAAAAAAAAAAAAGTGGGCAAAAGGTATGAATAAACACTTCTCAAAAGAAGACAGCTGGATGTGGTGGCTCATGCCTGTAATTCCAGCACTTTGAGAAGTGGAGGCGAGAGGATTGCCTGAGTGAGCCCAGAGGTTCAAGACCAGCCTGGGCAACATGTTGAGACCTCATATGTACAATAAATCAAAAAATTAGCCAGGCATGGTGGTAAACGCCTATAGATCCAGCTATTTGATAGGCTGAAACAGAAGGATTCCCTGAACCCGCAGGTTGAGGTTGTGGTGGCTGTGAGCATGCTACTGCACTCCAGCCTGGGCGACAGTGAGACTCCAACTCAAAAAAACAAAACAGAAAAAGACATACGAGCAGCCAACAGATACATGAAAATATGCTCAGCCTCACTAATCATCAAAGAAATGCAAATCGGGCAACCCCTTCGGGTTCCCTCCCACTGTGGGAGCTTTTCTGTCCTCTCAATAAATCAATCCTGCTTTCAAAAAAAAAAACAAATGCACATCAAAACCACACTGAAATACCATCTAACTCCAGTCAGGATGGCCATCATTAATAATTCAAAAAACAACAGATGCTGGAGAGGATGCAGACAAAAGGGAACGCTTCCACATTGTTGAAAGGAGTGTAAACTAGTACAAACTCTGTGGAAAACAGTGTGACATTTTCTAAAAGATCTAAAAATCAGCCTTCCATATGACCTAGCAACACCCCGTTCTGGGAATATAGCCAGAGGAACTTAAAACATTCTACAAAAAATGTATCTACACATGCATGTTTATTGCAGCACTATTCACAATAGCAAAAACATGGAACCAACCGTGCTGCCCATCAGTCACAGGACATGGCAGAGAGCAGGAAGCACTCAGCATGTTGCCCAGGCTGGTCTCGAACCCCTGACCTCAAGCAATCCTCTCACCTCAGCCTCTCAAAGTGCTGGGATTATAGGTGTGAACCACTGTGCCTGGCTACTTTTTTCAAATAATACTTGTGGAATGACTACAGTGTTTGGATTTTTTTTAAACGTGGAACATATACACGATGGAATATTACACAGCTATAAAAGACGAAATTATGGACTTTGTAGCAACTTGGATGGATTTAGAGGGATATTCAGTGATCCATCACAGAAAAAAAGAAGTGAGTATCACATGTTCTCACTCATAAGTGGACCCTGAACATTTATCATAATCCTACATGAAAGGGATTGGCCTCCAGACATGGTGGCTTATGCCTGTAATCCCAGCACTTTGGGAAGCAGAGGCGAGAGGATTGCTTGAGTCTAGGGATTCAAGACCAGTCTAGGCAACACGGCAAGACCTCATCTCTACAATAAATCAAAAAAATTAACTGGGCATGGTGGCGTGCGCCTGTGGTTCCAAGTACTTGGAAGGCTGAAGTAGAAAGATCACCAGAGCCCAGCAGGTGGAGGCTGTAGTGGCCTTGAGCGTGCCACTGCACTCCAGCCTGGGCGACAGAGTGAGACTCCAACTCAAAAAAGAAAAGAAAGGGATTGACAGTAGTGGGTCACTGCAGTAGAGGTGGGGGAGCAGAGAATAACACTAATAAGGGTACCTGATCCCAAACTAGGCAGAGTGAAGACCAGTGGGCGGCCCAAACTTCACCTGTACGATGATCACTTATGTACCGAGCCCTGAATTGTACTCCACATCTTTAAAATAAATGTGAGGCTGGGCGTGGTGTCTCATGCCTATAGCTTGTCTGTAGGCAATGAGAGTGGCTCTCATCCCTCACTACATACCCTACAGACCTTAGGCCCAAGAGTTTTGTTTCTACGTTTCTAAGATTTCATTTGAATCGTGAGATCTTACCTTAATGCTGGTTCTCATTACCATCTCCCTAATTCCCTTTCGCCTGTCTGCCAACCTCAGTCCTGGCCACCTTGGATAAATAATTTGTAAGTGTTCCCCACTTATTTCTGCTCTGTCTCCTCTTGCATTCTTTTTGGTACAGTTGGCCCTCTAAATCCATAGGTTCCACATTCTCAGATTCAGCCAAGCATGGATGGAAAATATCCAGGAAAAAGAAAACCAATTTAAAAATAACAATACAACAAATAAAAATAATATAAATAAAAATATAGTATAGTGAGCATTTACATAGCACTAGGTATTATAGGTAATCTAGAGCTGATTTAAAGTTTATAGGAGGATACATATGGGTTATGTGCAAACACTATGCCATTTAAAACAAATTTTTTTTTCCCTGCCTTGCGAAGGGAAGGGTCAGTGAGAGGAGAAGGAACTGTATTCAGTCATGTCTGGAGCCCAGGAGGTCAATTAGGCCACTATTCTGGGAGCTCCCATTAGTCCTTCTGTCGTTGATTTTAGAGCAATAAGTGGTAGGACAAAGGTAGGAGGCAATGAAATGAGAAAAAATAAATTAATTAAACACAGTGAGAGGATTCTGAAACTTTGCCCCATCAGAGAAATTTTGGAGGCTTTAAGCATGACACAAAAAGAATTTAAGCCGGGCTCGGTGGCTCAGCCTGTAATCCCGCGCCTTTGGGAGGCTGAGGTGAGTGGATTGCCTGAGCCCGCGGGTTCGAGACCCGCCTGGGCAGCAAGACCTCATCTCTACAATAAATCAAAAAATCAGCTGGGCGTGGTAGCGCGCGCCTGTAATTCCAGCTACTTGGAAGGCTGAGGCGGAAGGATCGCCAGAGCCCAGCAGGTCGAGGCTGCGGTGGCCGGGAGCGGCCACTGCACTCCAGTCTGGGCAACAGAGTGAGACTCCAACTCAAAAAAAAAAAAAAAGATTTTAAATTTTCTTATTTGAAATGCATCAGCCAGCCGGGCTCGGTGGCTCAGCCTGTAATCCCACGCCTTTGGGAGGCTGAGGTGAGTGGATTGCCTGAGCCCGCGGGTTCGAGACCCGCCTGGGCAGCGAGACATCATCTCTACAATAAATCCAAAAATCAGCTGGGCGTGGTAGCGGGTGCCTGTAATTCCGGCTACTCGGAAGGCTAAGGCGGAAGGATCGCCAGAGCCCAGCAGGTCGAGGCTGCGGTGGCCGGGAGCGGCCACTGCAC